AGGCTATTGGCTAAAGGAACTCCCACAGCATCTGCGAATAAGCTTTCTTCTTCTTTGGCATTCACAGACCCTTCTTGTATCCAAAGCATACTTATTCTTTCAGTAGCTCCCAATTTCCCATACGCCTTTTCCCTCCCTCATTGTTTCTCACCAACAGTGCGTTTTAAGCGCATCTTCAAGCTCTCAGACTCCGTTTAACCCACTTGCTTTTGCTGCCTCCCATGAGATTCTCAATTTCACCGAGATGTTTTTTACAACTCGGGAACTTTTTAATTGCTTTCAACTTGATGAGTTCCTCTGTTAGGATATTGAAACATTTCAGTTCCCTTAAGCTCATCAGATTTTCTTAAAACAGTAGTTTCAACTTCTCACTGAGGTTACTTCTCCCATGCAGGTTACTGCCTGAGTCCTATGTGAGCCCAGACTTCCCTACAAGCTCTTGGTGCAAGCTGGTGAGACATGTGAGCATCCAACTGTGCCTGTCTGCCCCCCAGGGAGGCTGGTTTTCTTTGAGCTGGTTGTCACTTGCCATGTTTTAGCACTAGATGGCACCCAGGTGCAGGTTTGCTGCGGCCCTGCTGTGGGTGTTGTCATGCTGCAGTTTTAGACCGGAATCTAAGCCCAGGAGTGTTCCAATACAACTTGGAGTATTTTTTTTTTTAAAAGAAATTGGAGAAGATCGAGAAATAACCTGACTTCTAGAAACGATTCAAGATTTTCTCTGGTACCAGGTTAGGGCTAGATGCCCCTTCCAAAGTTACTGGCCTGTGTTTAGAATAGGTGGAGTCAAGGAGATGCCTTATAGCTGCCAAAAGGAGAGAGATGCCATGTAGCTGCTGAAGGAGAAGAACATGCTGGAACCTTCTCAGTAGGCCACAACCTTCTGGCAATACACGGATTAATAGAAATAGATTGATTTAAGATGTGAGACCTAGCTAGGAATATACCTGAGACATTGGTCAAACAGTATTGGAATTAATATAGTTTCTGTGTAATTATTCGAGTCTGGGCATCTGGGAAGCAAAAGAGCAGTCTCTGCCTACAAGCAGCAGAGCCTCACACAAAGGTGATCCCAGCACTTGGGATCTCACGCCTTTAATCCCAGCCCTAGGGAGGTGGAGACAGGAGTGATATGGCTGAACAGAGAGAGGAGTATAAGGTGGGAGCAGACAGGACTTCAGAGCATGCAGTCTGAGGATTTGGGATACAGGATCTCTCCCTTTCCGTCCGAAGATTTGAAAGTCTCTCCAGCGGCTGGCTCCTTTACTTCTCTGATCTTCAGCATTTACCCTGATACCTGACTCCAGCTTTTTACTAATAAGACCAATTAGAATTCATGCAACACCCATAAACTTTAAAACAATGCTGATCTTTCAAAGCAAGTTTAGAATTGATACCAGAAATCAATGCAGTCAGTGTGTGTCTGGGCTGGAAAAAGGTACCTGGAGTGATTGGGACGTGTGTGTAACCCAGTCTGGCCTCAAAGTCACAATGCTCTTTCCGACTGTTTCCAAAGGGATAGACTGCAGGTTTGTATGACCAGACCAGGCTCTTGCTCCATTTTAATTGTTTTGCTTGGATTTTTTTATACTTACAGTTTGTTTGGAGTTACTTACGCATTCTAGAGCCTAGCTCTTCGTCAGGTAAATATCAACCGGCATTCTCGTTCATTGTGTCGTCTTTTGGTTCTGTTGATTGTTTTCTTTGTTGTACATTAAGGCTTTTTAACATTAGTTTCTCATAATTCCACTTGTTAATTTTTGCCATTTTGTATGTATCGAGGGGAGCAACCAGAGGACACCCAGCTGTGTCAGCATCTTGACAGCTCCCCAGTGTTGCCAGTGGTTTTCGACCTTCAGGCCTTCATGTCTTTCATCCATGTGCTACAGGCTAAGCGGCTGGTCTCAGAGGGCCAGCTCCCACTACCTCTGCTCTGGTGGGCGAAGCTCCTCTCCCTTCCCCTCCCCTACCATATAATGCTGTGGGGGGGGGGGTTGACCCATAGCCACTGGCTGAGCCAAATGTGGTTCACAGTCTCTGCCACTCTAAAACCTGTGACCTGGGGCACGTTCCTTAACCTCCTGCTCTGCCTTGGTTTTCTTTCACATAATTCTTTTGAGATTGTAATGTAATATAATACTCAAAGGGGACTAAGCCAACTGATGTTTACAATGGATCATAAGGATAAAAGCAAACTTCAGCAAAATATAAAAGCAAAATGCTAGGCAGATGGTTTCTCAATACGAGAAGGACTCGGTGGTCACGAGAAGCCAGCACAAGATCCTTCACATGCCACATTAAATTAACCTAATTTCATTTTTAGAAGATTTAATTATGAGGTGGCTAGGGGAAACAGGATAAAGTTAATGAATTCCGACTAGAGTGAAACACTTAATAAATGTCTCATGATGCCTATGTAAGCAGAGAGAAAATAGTAAGTAGATAATTATATGGCTGGGAAACCCTTTAACTGGGAAGTTGATTAAGAAGTCATATAAGAAATGTTAACCTGGAGGGAATGCCTTTTTTTTCTTTTTTTAAGATTTATTTTTTATTTTTTTAAGTGGACAACTCGAAAACAGTCCTCACCCCCACTATCACAATCCATACATTTGAGCTTTCTACGTTTGGGCAAATCTCAGAGGCCAGTACATCGTGCAACAGATGAGCCTTGCCCTGAGAAACTCTCTCCTGATCACAGCACACACACACACACACACACACACACACAGATGCACATGCACACACACGCACACAAACACACACAAACATGCACACATGCACATACACACAAACACACATGGATGCACACACACACGCACATACACGCAAACACGCACATGCCTAGTGCATGTGTGCACACTCAGGCACACAGGAGATGGTGGAACCATTTAGGAGATGGGACCTAATAGAAGAAATCAGAACCTGGTCCCACCACCTTGCCCTCATGCAAGAATCCACCACAGGCTCAAAGGGACCCTGGACTGAGGCCTCTAAAACTAAGAGCCAAAATCAATCCTTTTTCCTTTTTCCTGATCATCTCTAGTGCTTTGTCACAGGGACGGAATGACGACTAGTGAAGTTTCCTTCCTATCCCACTGGAGAATTACAGCCGCTCTTGGTTTTTCTAATAGATTTCTTCCTGCTAGTGGACTGGGGCACCCTGGAACCACCAGAAGTGAATGTTTTGAAACCTCTCCGCCTACTTCAGTGACTCGCTGGACCATCCAGTCTCCCCCCTTTCTCACACACCCACCTCCATAGGATACCTTTTAACAGTCAACACAGAAAATGTGGCTCCAATGTTGAGTAAAAATCCCAACTTTCTCTTTAGATATATCAAAGATAACCCAGGGCTTCTTGGAAAAAAATCAGGACCATGTTAAAAGGAACCAGATAGACATTAGATTTTGTCAGTCTTCGTTTTTCTGTAGAAGAAACAGATAGAAGTCATATACACCTGCTCTCTCCCCATCATAGGGACCCTGATAATTTCTTTTTCCAGTGTTGCTGCTCGCAAAACACACTGGTTCATCGCAGCTCTGGGGCGACTGGGGAACCTCCTGCCAGGGTCTTGGGGCACTCACAGGTGATAGTCTCTCTGTTCATCACTGTTACCTGGCATGGCTGAAGGGTGACTCCCAAGAGGACCCTCACTTTCTTCTATTCTCTAGCATAGCCACATCCCTGTTGGGAAGCGCTTCAAAGCCGTCTCCCCCAGATGAGGAAGGTTAGTTTCCAGACCCACACTCAGAAGTATGACAGGGCATGAAGACGGCTCTCAGAAGTACCTTCATCTTGATAGATATAGTGTTTTCCTGTCTTTTGGTCATTCTACATCAGAACAAAAGTCTCCCTTTAGTATGTGGTCCTTCCTCATCCAAAGCCTCATACTTACAACCTTCTTTATGACTTTCTCTTACTGACCCTTTCCTTGTCATCTCCTTAAACCTACATCTTGAAGCAATCTCTGTTCTTTGTATACAGAATTAAAGGTATTGTTTAGAACGTTAAATGTCAGCAATCTTGCTTGTTAATGAAAGCCAAGGAAGAAAGCAATGTGTCAGGAACTGGTATAAGCACATGACTAGACCCAAATACATTGCTTTTCATAAGAATTTAAGTAGCCAAGAACATGTAGGCTTATGTTTCACATTACTTGAAAATAAGTGGCCCAACTTTTATATCTCTATCTCATGAAGAATGTACTGATAAATCCTTGCCCTGCTTACATTTACCAAACTGATTTTAAGACTTATTTCTAGATTACCCACAAAAACTGAAATATTAGACAAGTACAATCAACATCTCAAGCTGTTTTTCTGTTAAGATTTTTCCTTGTTTGTTTATTCTGAGTTTTTATGACTAGGATTGCTGTCATGATCTCCTTTCAGCAGTTACCAGTGTGTAGGGGAGAAGCCACTGATATAGTGTATTGATTTTGTAACTACTACTTTCCTGAAAGCATTTATCTGATCTGAGAGTTTTCGATGGAGCCCTTCACGTCTCTTAAGTATAAGGTGAGCCTCTTCTCCTTCTCGAGCGGGGAAACATCTACATCCTCCTAGAAAAGGCTCCCCTTTGCTTGCAGCGCGGCTCATTCACGAGCATGCTCAGAGAGTGGGGGCTAATAATTCTGTTCAGAAACGTGGGGGCTAATGGAACGGCTGATTGGAGAGTTTATTTCGGGGGTTAAGCTAGCCAGGCGGTGGGACGCAGCCCGCTCCTCATACTACAGAGTGGCGCCTCAACATGGTGAACTGGATCCATGTAAAACCTGAGAGTGAGGTTGGAGCGTGGCTGGTGAATGAGAGAGTGAGGTTGGA